CCCACTGTCCCGCAGTCTGGGTGACCGTCACCGCCATCTCAGTGGAGACGCCGCCGGAAGTCCTGCGGGCTGCCCGAGGCCGGAGCGTCACCCTCCCCTGCACGTACCGCACCTCCGTCCTCGAGCGGAAAGGATTCATCCAGTGGGACAAGCTGCTGTGGAGCCACTCGGTAAGCGTCCTCCGCGAGTGGGCGCCACGGAGGGGCGGGTGGGACGCGGCAGAGTGGGCTCCGCTGAGGCAGAACCCACCTCAGTCCGCTCCAGGCTCCGTTTGATAAGCGATGAGTAAATTGGTGAATAAATAAACTCCAAAGGCAAGAACCAAGTACACGAAGTGGCCGGAAGCCAAGGGCGCTGCCCGCACGGTGCTGGCCTGTGGCAGGCGCTTGGTGAGCGCTGGCTGACGGGCGCCAGAACAGACCCCTGCGGGGTGAGAGCGAGGCGGGATCTGGGGGAACCCCATTTACCCTCACGCCCCCCTGCCCAGCCCTTCAATATTGTCACTAAACTTAGGAAGATGCTGGGAGCTGGTGCCACATAGGAGAGCTGCTTGGTCTGAGGGTGGCGTCGGTGCTGCGGGCGGGCGGGGCCTCGGGGTCCCCAGTTTTTGAAGGGCCGCGCCGAAGCCTTAGGGTGAGGGCCAGGCGGCATCTCTCCTTCCTCCAGGAAAGGGTGCTCGCCTGGACATTTTCGACCAAAGACTACAACTACGGTAAACTGTATGAGAACCGTGTCAACCTGTCGGGCAATGCCGAGGAGTCCGATGCCTCCATCATCATCAACCAGCTGACCATGGACGACAACGGCACCTACGAGTGCTCGGTCTCGCTGCTCAATGACCTGGACGGCACCTCCAAGGCCCGAGTCCGCCTCCTGGTCCTGGGTGAGTGCCCCCCCTTCCTGTGGTAGGCAGCAGGTGCGGCAGGGGTGCCAAGAGGACAGGTGCCAGGAGGACAGGTGCCTGGAGGGGGTGCCTGGAGGACAGGTGCCAGGAGGACAGGTGCCTGGAGGACAGGTGCCAGGAGGACAGATGCCTGGAGGGGGTGCCTGGAGGACAGGTGCCTGGAGGGGGTGCCTGGAGGACAGGTGCTTGGAGGACAGGTGCCTGGAAGGGGTGCCTGGAGGAGGTGCCTGGAGGACAGGTGCCTGGTAGCAGCAATGCCTGACCCAGAGCTGGGACTCCTCCGTTGTCTGCGGGCCTCAGGCAGGCACTGCGCCTCCCTCGGGGCTGCAGAACATTCTAGTTTCCAGAAGGGTGGCCGCTCCGCAGGGCAGAGGACACAGCCCACTGGGAGTGTTCCTGGGGCTCAGCCTGGGATCCTGTCCATGCTCTGATCACGCCTCTTCCTGGACACCTCTCCTCTTCTAAAAATCCTCACCCAAGGATATATTCACTGATTTTCAAAGAGAAAGGGGAGGGGGGAGAGAGACAGACAGACAGACATTGATATGAAAGAGAAACATCGATTGGTTGCCCCTATGGAACCGACCCTGGGCATGTGCCTGACCGGGAACCAACCTGCCACCTTTGGTGCATGGATGACGCTCCAACCACCTGAGCCGCCCGCCAGGGCAGCCCTCTCCCCTTTTTCACACCCAACTTACTAACAACACGGCCGCCAGGTCGTCTGCCTTTCAAATACGCCCCAAGACCCCATTCTCTTCCTACAAATAACGTGAGTGGAGTCCACGTTGTGAGGGAATCTGCGCCATCGTCTACACTAGGATCTCCCTCTGTAGACAAGGCCCAGGGAAGGCAGCGCCGGCTCCAAGTCAGAGCCGCGGGAAGCCTGTGGCGACACCTGTGCTGTGCCCAGCCAGGCACGGCCCACCCGCAAGCAGCGCCCGTCTGAGTCTGACCACCACGGGCCCCGTTTCCCCTTTAGTTCCTCCCTTTACACCACTCGGGGCGGGGTGGGGGTGGGGGTTGTTCGTTGCCTGCGGTGGCTGCCTGGCTTTTTGAAGCTTTTCAGTGAGTCAAACAGCACAGCCCTGAATGGAGGGCTGTCTCCCCTCCCACATGCCCCACCAGCAGCAAATGGGGCGCTGACAGACCCTCCACGCTTCTGCGCATGTCCTCTCAACAGAGAGAGAGAGAGAGAGAGAGAGCGAGATTACCAAGCCAAGAAAATGAGCGTTTTCCCCCAGTCTCTCTTCTGCTCCCCACCCCCCATCCTCCCATTGCCCCGGTTCCCCAGCTGAGTCCCTCTCTTCCCACCGGGTCTTTGGTCTTTGCCTAATTTTGTCTCCCGTGGCCCTTTAAGCACCTCGGGCCCTCCCTCCGGAGCTGGCTGGGGAGGCAGCGGGCCCCACCCCGCCAGGGCCGCTGCATTTTAGTTAACTTGAAGGGCGAGGGGACACCCTTAATCTGAGGTTATGGAACTCGGTGAAACCCATTTTTGCTTTAAAAAAAAGCGTGAGAGAGATCATATTGTACTATATGTCAAGAAATACAGCAGTTTCTCTTAAAAAATAAAGGTTTTTTTCCAAATGGCTCTCTCGCGGGGCTAGTTTTGACCCATAAGGGCATTCATTATGTGGCGCCACCCACCCAGGCTGGACGAGGCACGAGGCCCTGGTCACCCAAGGAGGCCGCCTTGCCCGGGACACCTGCCCGGTGCCCATGGGATCGCAGCCTCCGGCCTCTGGCGCCCCCTGGTGTCCTCAGTGGGAGGCGCAGGCCCTGCAGCGGCCTCCAGCCCATTGTGTCCCTGCTCCACTTGCCCATCGCTCTGCCCGCACTAAGTATTCAGGTGGCATCTGCGTCCTGTCTGAGAGCGGATACCAGCCAACTGAGATCTCCGGGGTCCCCACAGTGGGTGCAAGGGCTGCTGGGACAGAGGGGACAGAGGGGACAGAGGGGACAGAGGGACAGAAGGACAGAGGGACAGAGGGACAGAGGGGACAGAGGGGACAGAGGGGACTGGCCATGGGGACGCTTTGCACTGTGCGTGCTGCTCTGCGATGGGGACCCCTGAGGGCTGGGGAGGTGCTGTGCTGGGCTGACCTCGAGCGCTTGCCTCTCAGCTCTAGGCTGTGAATCTCTGTGCCTGTGAACAAACACGATCGCAGACGTGAGTGCGTGGGTGGGAGGTAGGTGGCTGTCACCAAGCCCCACCTACTCAAGCCTTCTCTTGGCCCCTCCCTGCACAGTGCCACCCTCCAAACCCGACTGCAGCATCCTGGGCGACACCGTGATTGGGAACGACATCCAGCTGACCTGCCAATCGAAGGAGGGCTCCCCGGCCCCTCAGTACCGCTGGCAGAGCTTCAACCTCCAGAACCAGGAGCGGAAGGGCCCGCCAGGTAACTGCACCCCCTGCAGCCGACTGCCAGGCTGCAGGGGGCCTGGAAGGCTGTCCCACTCTGCAGTGGACACAGCTATGTCCTGGGTCATGTCTCTGGGCACTGGTTTCTCATAGCCACGCCTACCTCCACCCAGTTGCTGAGAGCAACAGCGGTGGCTTCACGAGAAGCACGTGGTGGGAGCGCGTGATGTGCTTCCTCAGGCCCAGGACACAGGAGTCACTGAGAAAGCCCTGGTCGCAGCTCTGAGTACGATTATGTCAAGTTCACATTTGAGGCCCCACGTCCAACACTGTGGCTCCACTCAAGGTGGGAATTTGCTGTCCCCATTCCCTCCTAGGCCATCCATCTCAGACTCCCCTGAACCTACTTCACAAATGCACCCCCCCTATGGCTGCACACCAGGAGACCGGGGCTGCGGAGAGGGCCCGTCCCATTGCCAGGAGGCCACTCCTGTCCTGGGGAGCTTGGTGTTTGACCATTTGGTCAGGAAACAAACTGGGAGGGAAAATCCAAAAACTATATGAATATTCTCTGTCCTTACCTTGGAGCCCATGGTGTGGGAGCACCGCTGGGGGCCCCGGCCCCCGTGCCCATGCTGCCTGGCCAGCTGCACCCAGAGCTCTCGGAGATAAGAAGACAAGGCCAGAGGCGCCCTTGGTCTCAGGGGGGTCTTCCAGCTCAGTGGGCTGGGAACAGGGGAGGGAGATGTACAGTGTGAGGTAAGCATGTGCGTGGGGTAGGTGTGTGCGTGGGGTAGGCCTCAGTGTGAGGTAGGCATGTGCGTGGGGTACGTGTGTGCGTGGGGTAGGTGTGTGGGTGGGTTAGGTGTGAGTGTGGGGTAGGCCTCAGTGTGAGGTAGGCATGTGCATGGGGTAGGTGTGTGCGTGGGGTAGGCCTCAGTGTGAGGTAGGCGTGTGCGTGGGGTAGGCATGTGCGTGGGGTAGGCATGTGCATGGGGTAGGCGTCAGTGTGAGGTAGACATGTGCGTGGGGTAGGTGTGTGCATGGGGTAGGCCTCAGTGTGAGGTAGGCATGTGTGTGGGTT